TATTTTAGTGACCACTCTACTTAGTCTAAGGAACTCTTTTCCAGTTACATGGATATTTCCTATTTCCTGCTGGAAAAGATAAATTAAGTCTGTACTTAATCTTTTGAAGAAAAGGAGTTCGTATGACAATAACTTGGGATCTACTGCTAAAAAGCAGAATATCTAGAGTAACCTCCACTAGGGAACTCACTTTGCAGGAGGTTGGGCTAGATGACCTCCAGTGATTCCTTCCATCCCCTGTGGCTCTTTGATTTCATTTAAAAAGCAGTTTTTTCACTGTGGTTTTGTACACCATTTAACAACTTACACTTGACACAAATCTGAGTGACTTATGATCAGTTAAAAAGGTAACATGCTATGTATATACAGAATGTAGACATTTGAATAATATAAACTCCAAGAAATTGTATGGCTTCATTTCCCATGTGTTCCTGATGCAAAAAAAAAGAGAAGAGAAGCTCTTAAAGACTCATTTTAAAATTGAAAATACTTCTTCAGCAGAACTTCTGCTGTTGTTCACTTAAAAATGTCTTGCCATTTCTCGGAAGCTTCCTTACTTTTTTAAAGTTATCAGTTATGTGAAGTAGAGAAAAAACTCATCCTTCTCTCTTTATTTAATTTTTATATGCAATTAATTGAGGTAGGCTAAAGAGGAGAATTAACTTCCCTGAAGTTCTTGAGTAAGCCCTTAGATCTGGGCAAATACTCTTTTATCATCTTCTACGCGTTATGGGTTTTTGTTTGTTTGTTTGTTTGTTTTATCACGGATGTGGTGTTTTACATGCATGTGTAGATGTGCAACCTTTCCTTTTCCTACGCAATATAAAGTATCGTGTGAAACACTTTTCTACCAATGTGAGACCAAAGCATTATGTAACACAATTAAAAACATCTTCATTTTCTCCATGGAATAATTTAAAATTAGTTTTCAAATTTAAGTTCAGAAAACTGTACATGAGCTGACAACATTCTGGTAGATCATCACAACATCAGTTTTGTAATGACAGCATACAAAAAAAAGAACTCAGTAACTAAACTGTTCATAAAAACTGAGTATAAAAATATTACTTTTAATTGCTGCTCCAGACCCAGATTTTGATACTCAATTCATCACACTTAGTCCATTTAAGAAATTTTAAATAAAAGAATATTTGTCTACAATAGTGAAAACTATTCTTTCCTTTCCTTACTGCAGCCATTTGAAAGTGAAAAGCCTAGACCAATTCATCAATATTTTCCTACTTTAGGAACAAGAAATCCCAAATCATATCTGCCATTTCTGCCATTTCAGTTCCATTCTCATTAGCAACAACATTATTTTCCCCTCTGTTCCTTTCAAGTTTTAAATCCTCTCTTGTTTGAATTTATATACGCTAAATTCTAATTTGAACAACTACACTGGAATAAAAATGCTATAGAATAGTTCAGCTAAAAGTTTATTCTGATTGCCATCAGGTTTATCTGCAAAAAGGTTTTCCATAAATTTGAGAGTATCGCTGACAAGTACACCCCAAAAGCCATATTTTTATAACTGTAACCTGATTTGCTTTGTTATGTTAAATCGTTCTTTTGTGCTACTTTACAGATGTAGCTACAGATGAGCTACTTTACAGCTCCTCAATTTAAACAAACACTGTTGATTTTTGTCCAGAAAAACAAAACAAAACAGACTCTGTTGAGAAATCTACTCTTTCTAGCAGTGTAGAAATGGTGCACCATTTACTGTTTGAGAGGTCAGGCTCTGATATTGTAGATTAGTTGTTCTTTTCTGTTACAAAGGGTAGACAGAAACCTGCCCTACAGGTTGTGGCAGCATGTTTCACACAAAGCTTTGTTTCGTTACAATTTTCAGAATTAATCAGAAACTTGAAACTTTTGCTGAGAAAAGCCTGCTCCATTATTTACCCTTCTCAGTCTTGATTGTCCATACCACTCTTACCAGACACTGATATGGATGGCTGTTGAAATACTGCACATTTTCAAAGATTTAATGGCATGAATTCATTTTAATCTTTGTTGTAGTGCCTGACTTAAATTATGGTTTTATGGTGTTATCTGATAATTTAAAACCTGTAAGCGTTGGCTCTGAAAAATGAATTAAAACAAGTCAAAGCTATTTTAACATTACTTTCATTTTTTTGTTTTCATGACCAGAATTTTTTGTTAATAAAATTTTAGCAGATAGGAAGAAATATCCAGTATCTAAGTATTAAACTCAGAACAAAAAATGATATTTCATCTTCATTTATTCTAAAATTAAGAGAGGCTAATAAAATCATGCTGTTCTGCTTTAATTTTCAGACTACAATGAGAAAATCATTTGGTTAAATTCCTTTTTCTGCTGCTAAGATCACTATGTTAACACAATATTCAGAGAGATCTGTAAAGCAATTACTACTCTATTTTATCAGTGGGGAAACTGAGTTAGAGAAAGGTTTTTATGGCCTAGGCATGACTTCACATAAATCAACAGTAGTGCTAAGATTAAGGCTGAAGAATTAGTAAATATCAGATGTCAGCCCAGGTCACCAGGGCACATATTTTCCATGTTGCAGAATTATTTTCTTGTAAATTACAGTGTTGGGCAATACTGTAATTATGCACAATGCACATTAGGACCAAAAAAAAAAAAAAAAAAGAGGAATACCACCAATAATATTCATTGAAGCAGCCATCCACTTGGGTCCTGATTCTCTCTTAGCCAACATTGTACTGCTTGGACAGTAGTGTTTGAGATAATCAAGCCCTTATAGTATAGCATAAGGACTAGTTCTTATAGCAGCCTCAGAATCCCTCACTAACTTCAGTAAGGCTTTGTATTAGTGCAGAGATTAATCCATGTAGAACTAATTGCAGGACTGGAGCCTAAGTAAGAGACTGGTTTAGCTCTATTTGCTTGTTATCCAGTTGTCAAAATGTAGTGCTCATTAAGTGAAGAAACAAAGGGTCCAGATGGATTCTTTATGTCTGAGAAATGTGTTTTCCATATAAAAAGAAAATAATTAGTAACACTGCAGAGGAATTTAAAATCTTAAAAGAAGGAAATTTTAATGCAGGTCTTCTGGGGCCTTTCTGCACTTTATGGTTCACTTTCATTTATAAAATCATTTGTACAAAACGCACTTTGACTTCCTGAGTCCACAAAAATGAATGAGGCTAAAATAAATGCCCTTCAGTCCTACCACTCTCTTCCACAGTATGATCTCCGTGCTTTGTTCCACTTGTATTCTTAACACTTTTCTCTCACCCCTTAACACTGGGATTTTCTCTCCTACACATTTCCAGACACTTGTAACTTACCCAGTCTTCCAAGTTTCCCAGCAGGACAAATGCAGGTTACTAACACGGGAGTTATAGTTGTTTCCTTACGCCAACAGATGGCAATAAGTTAGTGTAGAAGGCATAGCAAAATATTTTAGCTGATAAAATTTTGGGATGAAGATATCTGCTGCATGAATTTACAAATCTAAAATCTTATTAAAAAAAAAAAAAAAAAAAAAAAAGCAGAAAGTGATCAAGAACTGCAACTAGATGCTATGCTCTGGCATCTGCAGTACCTATCCAAGTTCTAGGAAGTTTTATGAGGGAACTAGAATGCTCTGCTGCCCATTATCTGAGGATGCAGTTCCATGAAAAATATCAGAACATCTGAGTGTGCCTGGCTGCCAAAAAACTTCAGTCCCACTCTTCTTCAAGGCACACTCCTGTCTGTTTCCTTGTGGAACTACCAACAGTTGTGCAGCCATGCAAAAATATTACCTCAGTGAATAGAGCTGGAAGCCAGTAAAATAAATAATTTCTGCAGTTGAATTAGCTATCTGATTAAACTTTCTATACAGCCATAATTAGCCCAAATGCTAGTAATGGACAGTGGGCAAGAACAGGTTGTGCAGAGATGTGGTGGATGCCTTGTTTTGAGCCATCCATGGTCGAACTGTATTGGGCTTTGAGCAACATCACCTGGTTGGAGAAGTCCCTGTTCATTGCAGGGGATTTGAAATAGGTGACCTTTAAGGGTCCCTTCCAATTCAAACTATAAGCATGGAGTCAGGAGTGGGAAAGGATAACTGAGTTTCATCATTCGTATGAGTAAGGAATGTTCTAGATACAGAAGTGTGCTGCCTGGCTGGATATAGAAAGCCTACATCAGATAGGTACAAAGCCATTTAATTCTCAGTAAATTGTAATGAGTAATGTGAATTAACCAAATAATTAACCAAATAAGCAAGTAAGGCCGTTGGTGCCAGGTGGAAGATGAAATCTTAGAAGTTCCAGCTGTGAACATGGGACTACCCGTGGCTTCCATTTGTAAATACACCTCAAGCATCACTTATCTACTCCCAGCAAGATGAATGGATTCAGACACTCCCTCACCCTACTGCCTCAGGTGTTAAAACTTGCCACTTAGTCATCCAGAAAGGCCCTCCCACTTGATTATCTGCTGCTTTGCAAGTGCTTATGTGTCTGAAGGCAGGCATGTATAAAGCTACTCACATCCTGGTGCTGCTTTGCTGTTTGAAGGCCTAACCACAAGGGGATTCTCAGCTCATCTACTGGTTATCTCATCCCATCTGAAGCATGTCTACAGGATCAGGTCCTACAGAGAAGACAGGCATGGGCAAGACTTCTGAAGGCTTGTGGCTAGCATGCACATGCATTACATATATGATTACATTCAGAATCCCTGAAGTCAAGGAACTCAGCCACAGTAGTAAGGACAGTTTCCCTTTCACTAATAGTCAAGATTACCTTTTACATAAACCCGGGTTATATAAAATAGTAATGAAAATACCATTCTGAATCTGTAAAATGTAATTCACTGCCTTCAGTAGAACTACTCATACAGGTGGTTGATATCCGAGATTGGAGTGTAGTCTAGAGCAAAAGCTGCATGTTTAATGATTTTCAGATTTGTCAAGCAATTACTGTACAACTGCTTATATTCAGATGTTACTACTGCTTCAGAAGAGTAAATCATTACATCTTTTCCCTCTCTACAGGTGTAATCCTTGGATTTTCTCTCCGATCATATAAGATGAGCTATCGGGAAGTCAAATACTTTTCATTTCCAGGAGAACTACTCATGAGAATGCTGCAAATGCTGGTCCTGCCACTAATTGTATCCAGTTTAGTTACAGGTAAAAATATTTGTTATTAACTTTATAAAGATGCACCACACACCAAATAACAAAAAAATGACTCTATTCTAGTCTATTCATGTAGCAAAAGTTTTGAAGATGTTTTTTCCAGCCCCAAGATAACGTAACAGTACGTTACTCTACGCAGCTACTGTGAAGTTGAGTCTTTTTCTTCTTTTTCTCCTACCTTCTGAAGAGGTGTTTTCTTCCATAATGTCCTATTATTCAAAAGAGAATAAGTCTCAGAAAAATGTTTCCAAGACCCGAGAAAATTCCAACTATTGATTGAGGTCAATAACCTGTGAGATTTATATGTAAAAAATGTATTTCCTGTAACAGATTAAAAAAAAAAAAAGATAGATGATATATAGATTATTTGGAAGAAACATATTTCTATCAGTTCTGGTTTTCTTTCTTCAGGTTAGCAGCTCTGTTAAACTTCTTCACTAAGCTGTTCCCTCAGCTAGAGATGTAGTAATTTATTTCATAGAATCATGTACACCTTGTCATTCCACCTGTTTCATGGAAGATGTAACATTTCTTAACAAATGTTCATGACGCACTTGTGATGTGTTTATAGAATCATAGAAATAAAGAATGGTCTGGTTTGAAAAGGACCACAAAGATCATTTAGTTTCAACCCCCCTGCTATGTGCAGGGTCACCAACCACCAGACCAGGCTGCCCAGAGCCACATCCAAACTGGCCTTGAATGCTTCCAGGGATGGAGCATCCACAGCCTCCTTGGGCAACCTGTTCCAACATGTCACCACCCTCTGCGAAAAACTTCCTCCTAGTATCTAAACTAAACCTCCCCTGTCTCAGCTTAAAACCATTTCCCCTTGTCCTATCACTATCCACCCTCGTAAACATCCATTCCCCTCCTGTTTGTAGGCTCCCTTCAAGTACTGGAAGGACACAGTGAGGTGTCCCCAGAGCTTTCTCTCTTCTAAGCTAAACAAGCCCAGTTCCCTCAACTTTCCCTCATAGGAGAGGTCCTCCAGCCCTCTGATCATCTTAGTGGTCCTCCTCTGGACCTGCTCCATAGAACACACATCCTTCCTGTACTGGGTGTCCCAGGCCTGGACGCAGTACTCCAGATGGGTATTCTGGTAATAATCTAAAGAAAGAAAAACAAAGACTAAGCAAATCAGTGATACAGCATGTAAAAAAAAAAAAAACACATACTGTTCAGTCTTTGGGCCCATACACCCAGTATACTGCCTGCACTGTCAGAGGATTCTGTTCTGTGCTTCACTGATTTTCAAACATTTTAACGTTAGAATCTCTCCTTATGAATGCAATTGAGCATTGACACCATCTTCAAGGGTGTTAAAGCTGTTTATTTAAGAGCAAAAAGTCATCTAGGGTATTGACTGTTCTAATATCACTTGCCTTCATGTATTTCAAAGAGAAATAAATGCTTGTTTTTACACACACATTTCAGAAGGAGGCTGAAAGCTTAATGCATGCAGAAACTAGCGATAAATTTATGAATCTTGTATTGAAACAATGACAGTTTTTAGTCCCAGCCAGTGCATATTCTGTTGCTCAAATCTGCTTACTCTCTTGTCCCTTTCACCTGCAAATTCTTCAGGTTGCACAAGCATTTACAGAAGAACTATTAAAGGTGAAAAGGGAGAGAAATTTACCCTTCCTCAATATTAGCTGAGACTCATGCTGCTGCTCTTGTTGATCCAGTAAGACAAGAAATTTGGTAGAATTCACTTAGCTGCAAAATTCTGTAGAAGCACTTTTTTCAGGTATAGATCTTCAGATGCAGAGTCACAGATGTCAGAGGGAGTTGCCTTGCATTAAAACAAGCTCATTTTAAGTATCTCCAGGTCTCCATAGGGATTTGTCAAAGTTTCCAGCTAATTCTAGTCTGGAAAGGATCTTCCATCCCCGTCTTCAAGCAATACTTTATTTATTTATTTATTTACTTACTTACTTACTTACTGTAAAAATCATTTACATTTTTATATTTATATTTTTGACAAAAAGAATTGTTGTCTACTCAAGAGATTCACCTAATTATCATGCAAATGCCTCGCAGTGCTCAGTGGAATGATCTTAGAGTTTCCCTTTAAAGCAAGAACATTTATTATTAGGGTGAACTACAATAGTCAAATTTCTTTAGTCTGGAAGGGAATAATCACAGTAAAATCAATGCAAAGGGTAGATTTCATTCCACTAAAAGAATTCTTAAATACAACATTATTATGTCCTTTTTTTGTTGAACTACGAGAAATTTGTCAGCTTGTTGCTAAAAACTCCGGAAAAACTCTTTTCTACAATGAACAGTATCTCATTTAGTGCAAAAATAGTTTTAAAACATAAATATGTTCTCATATATTTGATGCAGAACTCTCACAGTCAGGTAAATACAAAGGTATTCTTCAGTAACTAAATAACAAACTATAGCCTTTATAGTTATACTACTATACAATAACATAAACACTGTTGGGTTTTTTGATACATTATAAGCTAATTCACTGGAGAAAAGTCTTATCCTTCTCAAATCACTTTTATGCCACTCTGTGGATCATCCGTGAGCCAAATTTCTTATTTCCTGTATTTCATTTGGCAAAAGCGTAAGCGTAAGTTTCCTCCAGGGTCCTACATACTGACAGCATAATATTACATAATATTATAATGTAGTATTATTTCTTCCCACTTCAAGTTATCTGAATAAATATTTTTGCTGTTTGCAGGCATGACAGTGTCTCCCAGAGATGATGATGTTCTTGGTTTCCATTTGTATTTATGTGTGTGCAGTGCAATTGGTTTTGAGGATGCCATCAAACTGTGAGATACTAGAAGTGTTAGAAGCAAATTCAGCATAATTACATTCCTCTGTTAATTTTTTGAAAGGCAAAGAAATTAGGATAAAGAGGAAGTAATAACTATAGAAAGTGTAGGCTGTTACATAAGTGACAGATATATGTTGAAAGTGAAGAGTTCTGTGCTCCAAGTAGACAGCTCTGACAGTCATCCACAGACTCTCACAGTGAAAATAGGACTATAAATAGTGAAGTCAACTCAGTCATATTTCTTTACAGGCTGTTTCAGCATTTTCACAGGAGAAGCAATAGAGAAACCCATTCAGAGATGTTTACTCACATTTGACTTCTGGCTTACCATTACTGTATTGGTTCTAGCAGTTTTCTCCATGAGATTCTATCTTCTGATCTCTGCGTTACCAGGCACGTACTAACATTTGCTTGGGAGAAAATTTAGGTTATTTGCATACCTTTCACAATCTTTTATTGTTTAAAGGAAAATAGGATTATATGAATATCTGTATTCTTCATCTTTTATGGTTTAGGCACAAATCCTATGCATACTCTATGCCAGTTTTTATTCTCTACAGTCTTACAAATGTCAGAACACCTAAATCAGCATTCTCAATCAGTATTTCTTACAAAGCCAAACTACGGCATGAAACATAAGAGGTAGCATAAATGGAGAAATAGAGAAAATTTCTATTATTTTATAACCAAATTTGGCCTGACTGCTTATACAAATGCAAGGCTAACAGTTTTGTTACATTTCTGCTTTGAATTTGCTGTAGTTATAGGAGTTCCAAATATTTTATATTTTCTTATTTTGTTGTAACTTGAAGCATTTAACATAAACAATTTGCTTGAATTTACTTTAAAATATAGTGTCCTTAAAAATTATGTAAAATAAATATATATACATGTGCTAACAATTCCACTCATTATAAAAAAGCCAAATACTGCTAAATTTGCACCAACATTAAAAAGGCTATACTTTAACATTTTTGAGCTGCTACAGCAAGAATATCATGCAATTAAAATCACAACTCTTAAACTATCCCACAAGTTTTGTCTCCATATTTTATTTATTAAGACAGTTTACAAAAATGAGTAATGACAGTTCTCCATAAAAATCGTAGTTAGAACATAACATTTGTAAAAAATATTGAAACTAAAGAAATTTTCTAATGCCTTTTTGCAAATAGTTTGTGCAATTCTGGTCACAACTCTGTCCTTGAAATTTTTGAAGCTTGGACCACTACTTTTAAATGCAAGTAACCAAATTAAATCAAGTGCATTTATTTCAGGTATATTTGTCTGGTGAAATATAGAAGAGCACGAAAAGCCCAATCAAGCTGCATATTGCACAAACAAAATAAAAAAAACATCCTGCCCTGAAAAATACACTAGCTTAAGTCAAGCTGGGCAAGGAGGAAGGGAATGTGGAAAGAGCAATAATATAAGCAAGCACAGATGTTGATAGCATTTACCATCACACGCTATGAAAAGAGCTGACAAAGTGCAGAGACCTGGAATTTCCATATGTGGATGCCTGCTAACTTACCTCAGGCGTACATGTGGTGCTCTTAATTTCAGTTCTCAGCGGAGTGCAACAAATGATGATAATGCTAAAGACAAGTGGTAAGGAATATTATAAAAATAAAAAAGAAAATAAAAATTAAAGAAGACAGAAAGTGACTCAAATAATTAATCAAACATAAGTAGATACCACATTTAACAGTCAAGATGCTTTAAATTACCTATAAAGGAGCAAAGATAATATTCAGTGAAACAACTAAACGCATATTCAATTGTTGCAAAGCCAGGTTTTGCCCAAAGAAATTTATGGATGTAAACTGTGGAAAATTAATGCTGTGAAACATTGGGCAACCTTGGGCAAACCATGTTACCTTTTTGTACCTCTGCTTTATCCTTTCAGATGTAGTGTTGGCAAAGATTTTTTAATAGCACTGCTAACTAGAAGACTACATATACTGAAAATTTTAATGAAGAGATGTATTTGTCCTGGCTCAGTAGGTGCAAAAAGTATAGCATTTCTAATTATATCACTGTGGAGATGGAAATAAACTTGAGCAAATAAGTACAGCAAGAATGGTATGGGGCCAACCATGAGGCAGTTATGGAAATACAATACCCCTAGTTACCTGGTAATGGTTTTAAGCCAGCTATGATGTTATCACCAAAATACAAGGAACGC